AATTTGCTGTAGTTCACTAGTTTCGTGGTCCGCTTGACCAATTGATATATTACAATTAATTAAGTTTTTCAGTTGAGATAAAAATGTCAATGGCACGAGCGGGATTCGAACCCACGACCTGCAGCTTGATACGCCGCTGCTCTACCACTTGAGCTATCGTGACCTCGATCCACTCGGACATCAACTTCCCATCTCAACCACACCTTTTGAATTTTCACTCCTTTTTGCCATTTTTTTATCTCAACTGAAAACCTTATTAATTGTAATTTGCTGTAGTTTTAATTAATTTTATGTTTACACACTTATGTTTTTTGTTGATGTAATTTAGAGGTAAGAACATGAAAGAAGAAACGTCAGAACACAGAAATAAAGAAAAAATTCTGTGTAATATAATATATAAAATTCTGGTTATTCAAACTTGGTTAGAGGAAGGTTCATGGGAGGAAGAAAATACATTCTAAAAAAGTCTGCCAAATGGTTGGATAATAAAGTTTCTTCACATTTTATGCATGTGCATGGATGTATGTTAGCACGTTTGGTATAAAATTCGTAGGGGATCTAAAAAGTAACCCGCATAATCTCTAAAAATCCGTAAATGGTTTCCGAGTTTTCCCGGTCAAAAGGAATTGACCACAGAAAGACCGATAAACACGGAACCAAATTTGTCCAGAAAGGAATGAAACGCAAAATGCGAGTGGAAATTTTTTTTTAAGGACATTATTTTTTGACTTCGGGCATGAATGCTTCCCTATCTTCTGTAATTCGGAAAGCAAACATTTTATGGACAGGAAAATGGTCAGCTAAGATTTCGTATACACCCTACTTTTATTTAGATCTTATGTACGTATCCATAAATGTCGTATGTATATTTATGGATTTGTAGCAATCAAATTCAAATAATCAAAATACAAATAATCCAATAAGTGAGGTTGTGGATGGGAAATTTTCCAACGAGGTAGGTTGAATGTTTTCTGGATTTAACAGGGCCGGTTTCCTTCAATTATCTTCGTTATGAAAATCTCGTATTTTGTTTTGGTAAGCCGCTTTTAAGTACATTTCTAGCGTTCTAGTTATTTCGTTTCACGTTAAGTTTATTACAAATGACCCTGACAGTTATATAACTAGATCTCCGTGGATGAAACAGTCTCGTACGTATGGAAGGTCTTACAATAGATGTGACAATTTCGAAAATTAAAAGACATCGACACAAATCTCCTCTGGTAGAGAGATAAGAGTAAATTTGTGGACGCTTCCGAAGAGCATGGATGGAGTAGAGCAGGTAAGGTGACGAGAAAATTTGCTGGCATAAGCATAGGCTGGCTCATGTTCTCCCAAATTGATGAAACGTGTCTGTGACAACCTTCCCACACTAATTAACTCCTCGACTGTCGTTATTTAATGGGACTATTCGTCTGTCGCGTTTCTATGAGCCAGGTTTGTGGGAAAGCCTCTTTGCCCCCTACCAGATGGGTGACTCGTCAGATTTCCAACATGTGTTTGACATTCCTTACAATTATTTTTAACCTATATTAACAACCATCCCTAACTTATGCTAAGGCGGGACCGGCTTACAAAATAAATAGCTTGAAGCTAGGTAGTGAGCTATAGCTTTGAGGAGGACAATGTACCTACCTGATGTTTAATGTAAATCTTCCGTTCTACTGCGACCTAACTAAATCTAAGAAGGGTGGATGGAACCATCAGGTTATAGAGATTCAAAGTTATGACAAGGAATGGCCAAGTCATGGAAATCAATCTCTGGTCAAAGAGATACGAGACAATTTAAGAACACTCCATGGATGGCAAATTGAAATAGAGTGTATAAAGGCAAATTAAGTTCATGCGGAAAGTGAGTTGACATCAAAAATGTTTGGTATTGTGTGATGAAATGTGGTCAAATAGTCAAACTGGTCAAACACAATAAACAATTTTTCCCTTTATTTTCATAAACAAAGATAAAAGATACCTATAACCGAGTAAAACGTGCCTAAAGTTTGATAAAACAGAAAGAGAAACATGGGAGAAACCATTGCCAGAGAACAAAATGTCTCTGAGAGAGGGTGGCCGCAACGGTTTAGGCGTTGACACGGCGCTCATCACTGTAAGGTAAAGGTCCTAGGTTCGAATCCAGTGGCCCTGCATTCGAACCCGACATACTTACAAATGTTTTTTTTTTGTTTTTTTTCAAAAGCAGCACCCGGAGGGTTTATATGACGTCTGCTGTTGCGAACCCTCGTAAAAAAGTTTCTTGTCTCTGTTCCAGGGCTCACAGGGCCGAAGGAGAATCGAGGGGCTGAAAAGTAGGGTTTTCAACTAAATCAACAGAACCCAAAAACCCTTCTTAATCACCCACCCGGCGTTGTACTATCTGCTGCAACCTTATCTCACTAAATGCTCGACTTTCTTTATTTCGTGGACAGACTATTTGCCTGTCACGTTCCTATGATCTGCAGGTTTGTGAGAAACGTCTCTTTCCCCTACCGGATGGGCGATCCGTCAGATTTACGGCCTTATTTCCAATATATCGTTTGACATCCTTTACAACTATTTTTAACTTAATTTATCAACTTACTCATAACTTATGCTAAGACCGGCTTACACCGCAGTACACATCCATATTAGTATGAATGCCTAACAGGACTCAAGCTCAATCTAGAAAATATAGGAGCCAAAAAAAAAAAAAAAAATCAAGACTTTAAAGGATAATAAAAAGTTTGAAGCTAGATAACGTCCTAAACCAACGTGTGGAGTAGCATAATAGCCCTACATGACTTATCAGGTCTGACAAAAGAAAAAAAAAATTATCGTGCGCTCTCAATGAGTAATTTCACGCTTCTCTCATTCTAGGCCAGCTTTTATTAGTTCAAAAGAAATAGATAGAAAAGCTTTATTCTCATACGAGAAATCAAAAGAGAGATTTTTTTTAATTTGTGACCCGATGACGACCGGACTGACTTCATGACTGTTTAAATTGTGGCTACCGTATAAAAAGAACTCATGGGATCGATAATCTGGTAAATATATTATACCGAGGTCGATATAGCCTGCATACCCGAGTGGTGAGATATAGGACGAGTAAATATTAATTCTAAATTGAATTAAGGAAAATGGATTTTTCAATGTTATAAATTTTGTGATGTTTCCTCCTGTGGACTGCCAGATGATAAACCTATTGTTTGACATTTAACTAACATCTTGGTCTACTTATCCTTGATGATTTTCGTCGGTTTAGACGCGTTTCGGCATTTCGCCATCTTCATTGTATGGGTGGTTGTATGTGTACTTGATGTATTAAGTCTTTTTGATTGCTCTAGTCGATCTTTTTTATCTTCAGTCCTTTTTAATTTCTGTAATATTTTTAATGGTGTAAACGATTTTTGTGAGTTGTTTATTTGTGTAATTATGAGTTTTTTAGTGTTAAATGTTAGGGGCTGTGTAGATATTATTAATGATTGTAGGTGCATTTGGTGGATTAAGGGGTTTTTTAATCGTTCTAGTTGGTCTTTTTGATCTATGGTTCTTTTTCTTTTAATTTATATTTAGTGGTCTTTTGACCAAATTACTATTTCAATTAATTAATCCTTCTATGTAAGGTTTTGGCTAAAATGAATAGATAGTGCCACGAGCGGGATTCGAATCAACGACGTTCGGCTGAATTCTACCACTTGAACTATCGTGACTTCGAATACTGCTTACACGATATTTGGAAAATAGCAAAAGTAGGGAAAATTCGAAAGATTGGAGGTTGAGATGGAGAGTTGGTGACCGAGTGGATCGAAGTCACGATAGCTCAAGTTGTAGAGCAGCGGCGTATTTAGTCGAAGGTCGTGGGTTCGAATCCCGCTCGTGGCACTAGCTTTTTCATTTCAGCCAAAATCTTACATAAAAGGATTAATTAATTGAAAGGTGTATGTAATGTTTGTGATTCATTGTTAATTTGTGTATTTATGAGTGTTTTAGTGTTGAATGTTCCTGTATTTCTAAGTTTTCGAGTATTTTCATTTTCTGTCCTTTTTGTACGTGTGTAGTAGTTTTATATTTGTTTGTATTGTCGACGGTTCGTAGCTGTTTTCTATTAGGTGAGTAGTGTAATTCGATTATCCGTCGTTGTTCCTAAACAAATTGATACGTTCCTTGTATCTTTTCGTCCCGTCTCTAGGATGTATGTTTCGTTCTAGTTGGTTGTCTTGTCGATGGTTTTGTCTTAATAATTTTTCTATTGCGTTTGCGATTTTAATATTGTTTTTATGCCTAATTTGTTGAATAAGTCTGTGCGTTCTTTCCCAAGGTATTTGCACATGATCCGTTTACTGTCTGTTTTTGAGGTGTTGTTTTGTGTTTGTGTGCGAGTTTTGTTTATTATTTTGTTGTTGATGTCGAATTTTAGAAAGTTTATACTATTGTTTGTTTCTATTTCTGCCGTGAATTTTATGTTTTTGTTTATGGAGTTCAGGTCTGTCACTACTCATTTGACATCGTTTACAGGAAAAAAACCGGGATTAAGTGTTCGAATATATATATTTTGAAGTTTGTTAAAACCATTTGAAACTTATATTAAAAATCCAAGACAAAATCTGTGATGGATATACAACGACGAAAGTGAAGAAGCTTAATTCAATTTCTCTTCGATAAGTTGTCTGCACCAGGCATAAAAGATAAAAGGGCTATTGATCGAATTGTTACCCTGTGCTAACAGGTCTACCGTATTCCAATTTTCTGTATACAGATAATTAAAATTTGAAAGGGTTAATAGATATAAGATGATTCGATCTAGAATTCAATAGACCTTCTTCTTTATCCAGTAATTATTTCAGATTTTTTTGGCAGAGTGGTCGTTAAATTGGTATTGATGTCGGCAGCAAAGAATAACAAAAGATGTCTCTTGGAGTCGTGTTTTTCGTGAGAAGCTGTGAGAATGCAGAAATTGAAAAAGCCCGGCATTGTGTTGTCGGAGGGTTGATATGGAAATAAAGTAAAGCCGACTTCCGATACTAAAAAATCGAAAGCTGAAATTCCAGCACTCTTAACACACTTCCTCGCTTATGTAAATCTCCTTGAGCCCGTGGTGGCTTTACCATAGATCTGACCCATTTCTCCTGGACCTTAGCTTTCTCGGCGGTCGATGCGCCAATCGGCCGACCGTCCCCGGCTTCCTCAGCGGTCATTGGATCCGCGCACGACTCTTCGGCAGCCCCCTTCCTCCGTCCATGGTAACGTTGACGGCCCTGCCGGTAGACGATTATACAACACCCTCCCTGGTAGACGTGACTTCTCCTCCCTCTTCTGCTTCTTTCTTCTCCGGAGGGACTCCGACTCCTGGACTTTTGCAAAGTTGCGTTTTCAGTCTCAGCTTCCCCCTGAATCAAATCGTTTATCCCAGTGGAAGAACGACAATACTTCGGCTCTTAGTGGAACGATCCAGTTATCTTGTGGAACCGTTTTTTAAACAAATGTCATTTGAAGGTAAATATTTTTCTCTATATTATGTCTTTTTGGATAATACCATACATCATATCCTCTCATACATATTCCTCTTTTGCCGAATAATTCGTTGGCTTTTTGGACTTGTTTAAAATTTCAACAACAACCGACTACTCTCAATTTTCTCCCTATTGAACAAAAATTTTAATAAGACAAACCAATCCCATATTAATTTCTAAAAACCAAAAAGCAAACATAATTTACTGTTTTATGGCGCTGAAAATTTAAATATATTGATTTATTTAACTAAAAATCCTATTTATATTGTGAAAATTTCTATAATCATGATTTAAATATGAGGCTCGATCAACAAATAACCAATAAAGAATGATCTAATTACTATAAAATAAACATCACTGTACAAGTCGTTGTTAAAGCATCGAAAAAAAAAGAAAAATTCAACTTTGTGTTTAGTATAGATCTATATTTTGTCCATTTTTTCTATTTTGTTTGTTCACTACGTATATTGTCTTTTTTCTGTGTTTTGTTTGATTTTCTCGTTGATTTTTTTTTAACTTTTATTAGGCTAAAGTTAGATTATTCAACTTCTGTATTGTTTTTTCTTTTTCTTTTGTCTGTGTTTAGTGTAGATCTATATTTTGTCGATTTTTTCTGTTTTGTTTGTTCACTACGTATATTGTCTTTTTTTATATGTTTTGTTTGATTTTTTCGTTGTATGTATTTTTTTGTACTTTTTATTAGGTTGAAGTTGGGTTATTCAACTTCTGCATTGTTCTTTTTTTCCTTTGTCTGTGTTTCGTGTAGATCTATATTTTGTCAATTTTTTCTGTTTTGTTTGTTCACTACGTACATTGTTTTTTCTGTTTTGTTTGATTTTTTCTTGATTTTTTTTTACTTTTATTAGGCTAAAGTTAGATTATTCAACTTCTGTATTGTTTTTTCTTTCTTTTTCTTTTGTCTGTGTTTAGTGTAGATCTATATTTTGTCGATTTTTTCTGTTTTGTTTGTTCACTACGTATATTGCCTTTTTTCATACGTTTTGTTTGATTTTTCGTTGAATTTTTTTTTTTTGTAGTTTTTATTAGGTTAAAGTTGGGTTATTCAACTTCTGTATTGGTCTTTTTTTTCTTTTGTCTGTGTTTAGTGTAGATATTTTGGCCAATTTTTATGCTTTGGTTGTTCGCCATGTTTATTGTCTCTTTTGTATGTATTTTGTTTCATTTTTTGTGCTTTTTAATTAAGTTAATGTTGGTAAATACATTTTGCACAGAATAAAAAGTTGAAATACTAGATAAACCCATTCCCCCTTTTTCATACCGTTACCACTTTTTTCCAGTAGTACAAAATTTCTGCATGTTAGTTCGAATGAAAGAAAAGCGTGTACCGCTAGAAAGCTAATTAAACGAAGAAGTTGTTATGAAATTTCCCAAGTTCTACCGTGAATTTTTCCATTGAGGTTGCAAATTTAGTTTTTGCAAATTTTAAATTTAGCAGTTTTGGAAAGATTTAATCTTTTTTGGGTGCCTTATTAAAGGAAATTTAACGCCCCTTTCGATGCTTTTCTTTAGATTTCCCGAAAAATGAATAGTTCAAGAGCTACTAAGCTAAGATTTATGACGAAAACCGTAGATAGTTAAGTCAATGGGTTGAGAATAGGATCATGGGTCATACGAACTTTTTCATTGCATTTGAAGTGTGAAATTCACAGGCAAAGTTTATGAGGCGAGTAGCCTGACACCCTGTATAATATGTACATTAAAATGCACATCTGCATTATACAAGTATCTACAAGTAAAAAGAGTTTGATTTTGTAAATTGCACAACAAATTCATTATTTTGTTGTATGACTCGTTGTAATTTAAAGAACCTCGAAACATGAAACATCAATTATTTCTTAATTGATGAGGATAAAATGATTATACAAATTAACATAAAAAATATCATTTATTCCAAATTAGACCACTGTTTAAATGGTATCCCCGGTGGGAGTGAGAAAATATTTAAATTAAAAACATTTATGCAAATGTGGTTATATATTTTCCGATCATCCTGGTCCGCATTGTGGGGGTATTTCGAAACGAAAAACAATTGGAGATTTTTTTTCTTTTGTTTGCATCTGTAGTTTTTGTTGTTTATGGAAATACCAGTCCACGAAGTCTCGCTGGTTTTATTACGTTAGAAGCATTGCGCCAATGTATGTTCAATGAAACAGTTCAGTTGTGTGAATGTATGAAAAACGAGACAAACCTGGCCAGTATATTCGTAAACGACAGATCTCACAATCATTGAAAATTTTACATATTAAAACTGACAAATATTACAACGTTAGAAAATAACAAGTTATTAAATGTTACCTTTTCAAAAATAAATAAATTCCTTTGTAATTAAATTTGAAAAAAGTATTGTCTTAATCATTTTCATGTAAGTATATAAATACACAATACAGTAAACGCCTCAGTACGTTTACAGTACAGAAAAACATACAAATTAAACTATTGCAAATCAAAAAGTAATTATATTAATATTGAAATTATCATTAATTATTAATGCACTCATAAAAGTTAAAAATATGAAGTTTTTGAAAATATATTTGACGACGTTTAATTCAGAATATTTCATAAAAATCTAGCTTCCTAAATGTTTTCATTGATTTTTTAACAGAAATCCATCGGTTAATGGTATTTTTTGTTCAATGGATCACTATTGATTTAATTGTACTTTTATTGGCCATAAATTGAGTAATAAATATTTCATTGCAGTTTCATTTCAGTTTGTACACGTTTTGTTTGTTTTATAATTTATTTTAACTGTAATAACTAGCAGGCAAAAACACTTCTTGGTCAATTGCAATATGTTAAATTAAAACCAACCTTTACACCAAGAGAAAATAAACCTTTTGGACAAATAAGAGTTAATTTATGTTTTTAAATTATGAGATCGCTTGGGCAGCAGGGTGATAACCTAAAATCTGGGCCTTTCCGATTTTGGCCTGTTTAGTCTCGCTAAGTCGGACTGTTAGACGCGTATCGACGTTTCGCCATATTCAGTGGTTGGTCTGTGCGTCGTCTTCGTGCGTCTAAGACCAGAAACCCAACCTGGATATCAAGAAATCAGACAGACCAAATGGCCGTGACAAGAAGACCTCACCGAAGTTCAGGATCATATTTCAAAATCAAACGTGTCCGTTTGACGTCCAAATTCGTCCGAACGTCCAACAATTTTTTAAACCAGTAAAATGTTTATTGAACGGACTCAAGAATTTTTAAAAATAATATTGTTAACTATTGACTATTGAAAAATAACGCAGTTATAAATTAAAGTACAAATACAAGGGTAAAACAAGTTGTTTTTATAACTTTTGTTCTATACAACTCAATCTTGTCCATTATATTTAGTGGTCTGATTGACCAAATTACTTCTTTCAATTAATTAATCTTTTTATGTAAGGTTTTGGTTGAAATGGAAAAGCTAGTGTCACGAGCGGGATTCGAACCCTCGACCTTCGGATGGTCGGTGGGCTCGAATCCCGCTCGTGCCACTAGCTTTTCCATTTCAACCAGAACCTTGCATAAAAAGATTATTCAATTTTGTTTTAAATAACAGTAACAGCAAGTATAATTTAAACAAACCATAAAATTTTTGAAAATTTGTATCACATTAAAATGGGAAAGAATTGCCTATATGGTTTGTACGATATTCAAAATTACCATTAATTATTATTTTTATTGCAGTTTATTATTAATTATTTAGCCATATTATCAATGAATTGTTCTGGACAGAAAATTATTTGATTTACTAGTTGTATAATTAAAACGAAGCACTTTATTCGTAAATATTGAACAAAGTATTTTTTTATCTGAATTATTATTTTGTTTGTGGATGTGTTGTATATTGTTTTGATCATTTAATTGTAAGACATTCGATAAAATGACCTTTTGTATTATCGCCGGTGTGTTGAGAAACAATATGGTCAGTCCTACAGTCGAACCTGTCATTGCCGTTAAATAATTAAATGGTCGTCAACAATTTGTAGAATTATCGACCGGCCTTTCGTTCTTTTCGACTTTTTTTGTTCACTTTTCCGTCCGATCCTCAGGCCAGAAGGTTGAAGACCTGCCGGTTGTATAAGACGTCTTTCACCCGAGAAAGCGTCCTTGCGACTTGTACTAGGAAGTGACGTGACCGCCTCTGGACCGCTGTTATCCCTCTTCTCCACTCTTTGTCGACTGTTAAATTATTGTTTTCCCTCGTTTATACATGAGACGGTCGCAAAGTTGAAACGGACAAGCAATTAACAAGGAACATAAAAGTCTACAAGAAAATAATAATAAAAATGTTGATTGTGATGGTGATGGAGATGAAGATACTAGGAAGCGGGTTCTGTAATCCCCAGGCACTGCACCCTTCTGGCTTATTGTACCTTCCTAGTACCCTAGTTCAGTGCAATAGACTCAACTCAGAAGTATTAGGTCATTGACTGTTGCTGCTTCAATTTTATTCTCTAAGTTTTTTCGGTATGTTAGGTTAATTCTCCATTGGGCAGTTGCTTCGATATGGGTGGTTGTTTCCTCCTCATTGCACAATCTGCAGTGCACCGTTATATATGCCTATGTTGTGTACATGTTTTCTCAGATGCCAGTGACCGGTTTATAGTCCTATCACTTACTGTCCCTCTCCAATGGCAGCAGAGAGTTTGGCAGTCTTGATGAGGGTTGTTTTAGTATAAGTTTACTGTGTCTATCCAGGAGTTTATCCACTTCTCTTTTTGTTTTATTTGGATCCAACTCGGATGGAGGATTCCGTATTTGTTATCAATGTATGTTGTTATTATACAGGGTGTTCGACTACTCGTGTTACAAACTTGCCCGTAGATTCAACATTCAAAAAGGAACCAAAAAGTCCTAATTAACTATGGTCCGAATCTCGACAGTTGGATAAAAACATTGATACCATTGAAAACTACATTAAATTTCCAATAAGATGTAATCAATACTAAACTTGAAAACATTCGTGAAATAAGT